CCTTGTGGTGGCACAAGGGGTTAGGACGCAGCACTGCAAGCTGGCCGAAGCTGCTTCAGTGCAAGTTCGATCCCCAGCTGCGGAGGTGACACACATGGCCTGGCAGACCTCTCCTGATCCACCCGCTGCTCCCTCAGCAGTGTACTTCATTGATCAGCCTGTTCTGCTCCCCACTCTGTCACAGGTGAAGCCTCTCACCCCCCTTGCACCTCTGGTTTGTACCCCAGTTCTGTATGCATAAAGAAATCATTAAAAAAAAATGAACTAGGTTCTAAAGGCAGGGGAAGGGGGGGCTTCAGAGGTACTAACTACCCATCATACTGGGGTCTGGAAAGGAAGGTGAGAAGAAGGGTATGGAAGCGGGTGGCAGACCTCCACGGCTGAAAGGCACATCTCTGGCTCATCTCCGCCCCCCAAGGCGTGGATCTCATTGAGTTGTTGCCAGAAGCTGTCAGGGTCACTGGTTGAAAAGACAGGGCCAAACCCTGGGGAGGGAAAGGAAGTTGAAATCAGTGAGGAAAGGTTCTCCCTAATCCTGACCACCCTCAGTCAGTAACAACAATACTCCCTTATATGGGCAGGGCAGAGGCTAGCGACCTTTGGTAGGAAAATGAGCCTCATTTCCTTAACAAAACGGCAGCAGGTCCTGTAGTACATATATAAGTATAAAAAACAAATAAGGCCTATTTCGTCAGCAGCAAAGCCAGAAAAATAGTATTTATCTCAGAGAGCTATTGAGAGGACTAAATAAATTGATTCTGTAAATCAGAGTAATGCTTGACACATAATAAATTCAAACTTCTTCATTATTCACTTATTGATACCTTCATTAAACATGTACTAAGCCCTTAATAACTGTCAGCTATCATGAAATTTATTTATGCAGACAAATGACACGTCTTGCCTTTGGGGGATTCTTAATCTAGTAAGTATTTCATTTGATCATCATGTCAACCCTGGCACACTGGCAGGATAAGACAAGTGCAGACCCACTGGATGGATATTGACACTGAAGCGAAGAAAAGTTGAGATAACTCAGGGCCCTCCCTGGTGGTGCAACGGATTAAAGCTTCAGCATTGTGAAGCTGTTGCAGCCACTGCAGCACGAGTTCCATCCCTAGCCAGGGAGCTGACCCACATGGGGCAGCAGACCTCTCCTGGCCCACCCACTGCTCCCCTAAGAATTATAATTTGTCATTCTGCCATTCTGCCTGTTCTGCTCCGTACTCTGTCTCTGGTGAATCCTCTCACCCCAGCACCTCTGGCCTGTACCCCAGTTCTTGTGTGCATAAATAAATAAACCTTAAAAAAACAAAATTTAGATAACCAGCCTAAGGACCTAGAGTACATCTAGGTGGACCCAGGCCAGGTCATCTGACTTCCACTTGATTGGGGAAAGGTTACAGTGTACGTAAGAGTCTCAGATACTTCAAAGTCTCCTGGATCTACCAACAACCCATGGTCACCCAACCTCAGTCTATAGGAAATGGACAGAACTGAAAACAACTTATTATTATGAAGGTTTAAGAAAGCAAAGGCACCTGCCTAAGTAAGGTCATGACCATGCTTCTCCCCCCACTCCATCCCCTTGTTTGGAATGTCCGCTAGTTTTTGTACATATTTTGTGTTATCTTATCATCTGCTATATAAATGGTGACTTGCTTTACTACACATCATTCTCTCAAACACCTTCCATTTTATTGAAAGTGGCTGCACTACATCTTTCCTTATGGCTGAAGAGAATTCCACGGTGTGCACAGACCTCCTCTTCTGGGTCCCACGCAATTAATTATGGAGCGTGTTATCATTTCAGAAACAGTGGAAGTGGCTGGTGCTTCTCACATGCACATGGACACCAGTAAGGCTCACCCGGAGCACAGGAAGGCCCACCAGTGTTTATCCTTGGCCCTGGATTTTCCTGCCCCCTGCTGTCCCGGCCACGTCCTGGTTACCTGGGTCATGGAAAGGCACCAGGATGTAGTGACTGGGCTCCATGGGGCTGCCGCGCCGCTGGTCCACAATGCGTCGAGCCTGGATTTTGGCGGCGTTGATCTCCTCCCCCATGCTGCCCGTGGTGTCCAGAACAAAGCTCAGGCCAGAGGCTGGGGTGATGTCCAGCAGCCTGGAGCAGGCCAGACACATTGAGGGGTCTGCATGTTTGCCCCCAGCCCTCCCAGGAAGCTGCCTAGGAGGTCACTTACCTGGAGAAACCCTTGTCTCCCAGGCGGTTTTGCAGGAGGCTGAGGGCCTGAATGGAGGCCAGAAGGGCCAGCTGTGCAGCCTGGAGGTGCAGCATGTGGTGGGGGGAGAAGCCTGGGGCTGTGCTGTCCTTGTTGATGCCTCCCCGTGGTGGCTGGGAGCTGCTCTGGTCAAAATGACCCCCGTGGCTACATTTTCCTGGGGTAGGGAAAGGGATTGAGAGGTGGAGGTAAAAACTCCACTGTCTCCTAAGAAATGGAGGCCCTTTCTGACCTGGTCTGCCCACTCGCTCCTCAGCAATGACTCAGCAGGAAACGATGGCATCTCGAGGAGAGAAAGTATGGAGGGGTTAGGCACTACAGGACTCCCTGACCCTGTCAGTCCCCAGAAACTGCCTCAGGCGATAGAGAAAGAAGCTGCTCCCCAGCCAGTGATCACAGGCCCTCCCAGGGCCTCCCTCCCACCCTTCCCACTTCCCAACACCCTCTCCCCCTGAGGAAATGATGCCTTGAGGGGTTGGGCAAGGGACTACATGACAGATCCCCAGTGAGAGGGTGGGGGAGATGGACCTGACTTTCTCCCTGTACTTTGGGGGCTTTTCTGCCTGGTACCTGGAGGCTTGGGGGGATGAGTTCCGAAGTAGCCAGAGGTGAGGAGTGGGAAGCCCAGCAAATTCCCAGGGCAGCTTAACTCCTTGCAGTCGGAGCAAGTAGCATCGTCCACTGTGAAGAGAGCGTAGGGGTCTGGAACCCATGATTCTACTGCCCAGACCTTTCATCCTGTTCACCCAAACTTCCTGGGCTCTTCCTCCCTGCTGGGATGAGGTAGAAGCCCACAAGTCCCCCTTCTCGGCTTTCTGAATGAAAACCTGGAGTTTATGAGCTGATGATAAGACTGAGCACCTGGGCTGGACTGTGCTAGAAGACCCTGGCTTGGGGACCAGTCCTACAGGGATCAAGTGCTCATGAACCGTGGCTGGAAAGTGGACTTGCAATGACCAGGAGGCGGCTTCTAGGTCACAGCTGGGTTGGAAGACTGAGGGGCCATGAGAGAAGGCCTGTGGGACCCAGTGGGGGTGGGAGCCATGTGAATGGTAGGTTCTGCAGACCAGCAAGTCCTCCCCTTTGAGGGGTTTGGGGGAGTAGGAGAAAGAGAGAGGAGGGGAGGGAAGGGGCTGTAGGGGAAGGGGGAGGGGTGGGTGGTGGTTAGGGGGAGCCACCTAACTGACCTGGCCTTTGGTCAGATTGGGGACTGCAGAGGTCAACCCACAGATGAAGCAACATCATTACATCCCATGTGACCTCAGGCTGCGACATGGTGGCAGGGGAGGCTGAGAGGACGTGGTGCTGTGGGCTCCCCCAGTTCTACCTTGTGCCAGGCTCTGGAGCTCCATCCTTGGCCAGAGGAGGTGAGGGTGTGGCTGCTGCTGCCCCAGTTCCACCCAGTTGCTGTGACTATAGAAATCCTGCTCCGAGAAGGAGAGAACAGCGCCATGGTGTGGCGGCTTTTTCTCCAGCAGAACCCTTTATTCCAAGCTCCCCACTGTGAGTCTCCTCCCCACTATTTCTACCCTGTCCCCTTCACTGCCTTCTCCATTGCCCAGAACAGATTTTTTAAAAAAGTTTTTCTGTTTATGTATGCATAAAAGAGCTGGGGTGTAGGCCAGAGGTGAGGGGGTGGTGAGAGGATTCACCAGAGTCAGAGTGGGGAGCAGAACAGGCAGGTAGACTGAAATGCCCTGCTCAGGGAACAGTGGGCAAAGTCCACAGGAGAGGTCTGCTGCACCAAGCGGGTCCCTCGCCCAGGATGGATTGTGCTACAGTGGCTGAGCTCCATAGTGCTGAGACTTAACCCTTTGCACCACCAGGGGTTTTTTTTTTTTAAGGATTATTTATGCATAGAAGAACTGGGGGAGGTGTGAGGATTCAGCAGAGACAGAGTGGGGAGACAACAGGTAGACTGACTGAAACACTGCTGAGGGGAGCAGGGTGGAGACAGGAAAGGGCTGCTGCACTGCATGTGGGTCAGCTCCCTGCCCAGATCAGATTTACCGAAGTAGGTGGTAGGTGCGCTCTGGGTGTTTTTCCAGGTCCCACCCTCAAGCCAAAGCCCTTGTGACCTCGGTGCCTTCCGCTCCCCCTAGCATCTCTCCTGCTAAAGTGTCTGCCCTGTTCTCACAGGAGCGTGGCCAATTTGTAGATAGGAAACTTGGAGGAAGTCTGAGGGCATTGGAAAGCACCCCATCCCTTCTAGAGGGGTGTATGTGCGGTTGGGGGCGGGGCAGGAATTAGGAGACACTATGCACCAGACAGGAACTGGAAGCCAACACCCCTCCAGCCATCCCCCAAGCTGTTCTCACCTGTAAGGCGTGAAGAGCAGCCCCCAGGCGCTGGCGGGCCACGGTGTAGTCAAGGGCTCTGGCAGCGGCCACAGTCTCCCGCAGCGCCCCCACCAGGCGCGTGCGCCCCGGGCCCAGCCGCTCGGCATCGAAGTGGAGATCAGGATCGTTCCTGGAAGTGGGCAGGAAGTCCTGGGCCGCATTGGCACGAGACACCTGGCCTAAGGCTGCTCGAAACCTCCGGGAAGGAGACCCAGGTCCAAAGTAGGCAGCAAAGAGATCGTCGGCAAGGAGGGTACGGCCCTGGCGAGAGTGGGAGGGGACAGGGGTTCCAGGGAAGCCCCCCAGATTGGGGCCTTGCCTAGTTCCCTCAGCAACTGGCAATCAAGGATTGCCAGGAATCAGGCTACTGGACCCCACAGGGAGGTGAGTTCCTGTGCTCTTCTAAAGAGGGGCACTCCTGATTTCAGGACCGGAACCCCAGGTGTCTTTGCTGCAAGGGTTTAAAGGTGGGAAGGTGGAGACAGGGAGATATATCCCTTTTCTTGGCAAACAGAACTCTCAGGGAAAGAGGGAGTCTGGCCTGGGTGTGACAGGACCCAGGCCTCTCACCAGGAAGTCCTCCAGGCGAAGGGGTGGCCGGCCTGGGGGCGGATGTTCCAGGAAGAGCTGCAGGGTGACATTGAGTGCTGCCTCCTCGGTCAGGTCCTGGTGGGTAACAGAGCCAGGTGCAGCGAGAAGGCTCCAGATGTTGGGGAAGAAGGCAGATGCGGGGGGCAGCAACAGCTGCAACAGCAGCAGCACTGAGGGGCCCAGGTGGCATACAGGAACGTTTGTGGGGTGCATAGCTAAGACATGGACCTGGGGAATGGAAGGTTCTCATGCCACAGGAGGCAGCAGCCTTCCAGGGCTGCCTGCCTGTCTCCATGGGCACCTGCTTTGGCCCCATTTTTGCCTCAAGCACCTCGTCTGCCTCAGCCACTTCCCTGCCCTTCTCTGTGTTACTCAGACAAGCTGAGGGCCCCATTAGGCCGTGTGAACAGACACCTGCAGGAGCCAGCTGCGGACCCTCCCACAGAAGCCCCTTCCATGCACCCAGAATGACACCCACCATGCGCCGGAAGTCAGTTTCCCAGGCCTCTTCCCTACCTGGTGCCTGGGTCTCCCAGCAGGGCCAGGGTGTGGCGTCACAGGGCACTTAGGTCAGAGTTATAATTAACCCAAGCAGGACTGTCCGGCAGGGAGGGAGGCCTGGCGTCCGTGTAGGTGGGGCCGGAAACCGCTCGCCCCTCTGCTCATGCTTGTCCAAGGCCAGCAGCAACTGCCTGCAGCAGGCAGCCTCCCGCGAGTGCAGTGCAGAGGTGAGTGAAGAGCTGGAGGGAGGGAGCGAGCAGCATGACTCAGGCCTGGCTCCCTGCCAGCCAGCCAGCCACACCTCTGCCCACCAGGACCCAGCGCCTTGTGCCTCATCTGCAGCCCTGAGGAATCCAGGCCCTCTGCGCTCCCCCTCCACTGCGCACATGCGCACACACATGGACAAGATCACACACAGGATGGTTTTGTGGCAAAATATTTTATTGCTGCCATCCCCCTGGTGGTCCCGGGGGGTTATGAGGGTTGGAGTTGGGTGATCACAGCATCTTCTGAAATAGGGCGATGGCCTCATCCACTTTCCTGAGTTCTGCTTCTGTCTGTTGGAGCTGGAGAAGAAGGGATGTGGGGTGAAGACCTGGGTCAAGGGAGGAGACCCTCCACCATGCACAGCGGCAGAGGGGTTAGAGGTGGCAGGACTGGCGGGATTACAGAGTAGTCTGGGGCGTGTGTGTGCCTGGCTGGCCTGCCCCCTAATTCTCACTGGTCTCCCCATCAGCAGCCCCCTTCTCTTCCAGCACTGGTCTCTCGGGTCTTGCCTTTTCTGAGTGCTCAGTCCCCAGGACAGAGGCCTGAGTGTAGGCCCACCCCCTGCCGGCTCTAGGCACTGCGCTCGGGAACCAGGCTCCCAGGCAGGCCCGTGGCTTCATCTGTAAAGTGGCAGCGATACTGCCCGCCTGAGGCTCTGTGACTCAGCCTCCAATCCTGGTTCTTTCTGCAGCCATGGACTTTGCCCGACTGCCCCTTCCTGAGATCCCAGAGTCCACTGGCTCCCTAACTTTGTGGCCCCAAATGCCCAAGGCCCGTGGGCATTTTCAGGACATGGGGTGGGCCGGGGCCTGTCTAGGGTGCAGGACACCCGGTTCCAGGGGTGCCCCCACTGTCAACTTGCTGTGTGGCTCTGGGTGGTGGCGTCCCCCTGGCTGCGCCTTGTGTGTAGGACGAGGGATTACAAGGCCCCACCAACATAGCACTGGTGTGGTCTCAGCACTCAGGGGCCTGGCGTGCATGGACTGGACAGCCCAGTGCAGGACTGGGATTCCGTGTAGAGGGAGCAGGTGGTGTGGGCAGTGGGGAAGGGAAGCCCACCCACACCACACACCTTGGCTTCGTCCGCCTTCTGGACTTCCGGGGGCACCTTCACAGGGTAGCCAGAGGCAGCTCGGCGCTCCCGCAGACGCTGGGCCTGCCGCTGCGCCTCACTGCGCTTGGCCTGCAGTTTGCCCAGCTCTCGGGCAGGGTCCACCAGCCCCTGCAGCTGCAGGTGGACGGAGCAGCGATCAGAGGCCAGGGCCACGGCGCATCCCTGTGGTGCGGGAGCCCCCAGGGCCAGGACAGCCACCACACCCGCGCTGGCCAGCGCCTGCACGTAGCCCGACACTGCCGATGCCTGCGCACCCGTGGCCTCATCTGCCACTTCCAGGAAGCCTGCCAGGGGAAGGAGAAACATGAGGCCTGACGCTAAGGAGATGAGGCAAAACAGGAGAGGAGGCAGCCGCACCGGCAAGGCTCAGGCAGGGTGGGAAGGGGGGGGTGGTCTGAGGCTCACAGTCGGGCCGGATCCGGGTGAGGTTATAGTCGGCGCGCAGGGAGCGCACGACTCGGGCGATGCTCAGGGCCAGCTCCATGGCGGCTTCTGCCTCAGGGTCCTTCCAGGAGCACTGTGGAGTGGAGGAGGGGTGAGGAGGGCTGGGGAGCAGGCTGGAGAAGCCCTCCTGCAGGTCATACCCCATACCTCCGAAGGCTCCGGGTAGGGGGTAACACAGAGGCTAGGGGGAGCCTGTGGTGTCCGCCGGGGCAACCTCTGGAAGAGCTCCTCGGTCACGAAGGGCATGAAGGGGGAAAGCAGCCGCAGGCCGACGTCCAAGCAGGTGTAGAGGGTCTGGCGGGCGCACTCGATCGCCGCCGGGTCCACGCCATTCAGCACGGGTTTTAGGCACTCCTAGGGAACAGGCAGGGACCAGGCTCAGGGCTGGGGAAGGTTTAGCCCAGCCCTCACTACACCTGTGAGGACAGATTGGCTCAGGTCTCGCCGCCAGCCTCTGGGGAAGTGACACCCCGGGCCCTGCCGCACCCCCTTTTACCCCCCCACCGTGGCTGCTTCTCACCAGGTAGACATCACAGAGCTCGTAGAGCCAGAAGCTGTACTGGGCGGTGGTGACTGCGGGGAAATCGTAGGCCTGGAAGCCTTGGTTGCTGAGCCTCACAGCCTCAGCCAGCCGGCTGCGGATCCAGCGGTCCACTAGGCTCTCCTGGCCTCCAGGCTTGCGGGGAGAAGGGGTATGTCAACCAGGGGCTACCTCAAGGGAGCCAGAACCCCAAGGGGGCAGGAATCATGGGCAAATCGGCAGTCTAGGAGCTTGATGGGTTCAAAACTGCCACTAGATGGCAGCATCTGGGGGAGGCCCCCTAGCACCTCGGGAGAGGATCCCCACAGCCCTCATCTTTCCCTGTAACCATGTGTCCCCAGCTCCATGCAGGTTCCCTGGGGCCAGGCCTGGGCTTCCTGACTCCATGGCCACAATCCTGACACAGCATGTGTGTGATGCCTGAATGGCAGGGGTGCAGCGTATGAGGCGCTGTCCACCTCGCTGCCTACCAGGCCCTCACCTCAGAGGTGGGTGAGGGTACGAAATCCTTCCCCAGGCCACGGAGGGCAAACTTGGTGGCGTTCCAGAGCTTGTTGCAGAAGTGGCGGTACCCCAAAATCCGGTTCACATCCAGATTGATGTCACGACCTGTTTAGGGTGGGTGAGGAGTGTGAGTCCTCCCTCCCACCCATGGCCAGGGCAGAGAGCAGGGCAGGTCTCGGGAGAGGAAGGAGGACATGGCTGAGAAGTTAGGGGACCATACCCTGGGACGTGTACGCGCACAGTCCAAACCGCAGAGCGTCAGTGCCACACTCAGGAATCCCCGCCGGGAAGTCTGCCTTCTGCGGGAGTCAGAGGGGCTGTGCTGAGCCAGCCCAGACCGCCTCCTTCTGCCACAGTCCAGTCGGGGTCCACCCTCCGTACCTGCCCTTCTTTAGCCTTTTCCACCTCACTGGGATCCAGGTTGCTGTTCAGTAACTGGTCGTGGAGGCCCTGAGGGGGAGGTGGGAGTGGTCAGGGGCCTGGCCACCGCCCCCAGCCCTCCCCGCCTGGCCCAGGGCCCAACCCCACCTGCAGGGAGACACCATAGATAACATCCAGGGGGTCGATGACATTGCCTAGAGACTTGCTCATCTTCCGGCCGTGGGCATCTCGCACGATGGCATGGAGGTACACCTTCGAGGTAAGGGAAGGGAGAGGCTCTAAAGTGGGTCTTCTGGCCTATACCTCAGTTGCCCCCAAGGCCCTCACATGTGGGGTGTCACTCCAGACCTCTGGCCCCTCAGAGTCCCAGTCAGCCCATCCACTGCCTTTATGTGCCCAAGGGGCCCCTCCATCCGGATCTAGGGCATAGGTTCACTGCGTGGAGTCCAGGTTGGCTTTCAGGCCCCACAAGCCCCTGGACCAGCCCACCCACAGCTGGCCATGGCTCTGCCCTGGGTGCCACCCAAGCTGAGCCTGAGTGGTGGCGCGGGAGGTGGGTAAGGAGGAACCGTGGAGGGTCTTGCAGGCTTCACCTCTCTGAAGGGCAGTCTGCCAGTGAGCTTCAGGCCGAGCATGACCATCCTGGCCACCCAGAAGAAGAGGATGTCATGGCCCGTCTCCAGCAGCGTTCCCGGGTAGAACACGCTCAGATCTTCTGACTGGGGGCAGAGCAAGGTGTGACAGGGAGCCGAGCACCCACTCCGAGACCCCACCCACCAGGACTGGCCCTAGAGACATACCTGGCTGGGCCAGCCCAGGATGGAGAAGGGGAAGAGGCCAGAGGAGAACCAAGTGTCCAATACATCTTCATCTGAAGAGGCCAAAGGACAGAGGTCAGAGCCGGGAGAAGAATCAGAGCCCGTCTCTCCCCACCCCTCCCAAGGCCTCTCCTTGCCTTGCTGGAGGCTGATCTTGTCGGGGGACACTCCAAACTCCCTGGCTGCCTTCGCTCGGGCCTCGGCCTCACTGCGCCCACTGACCCAGTAACGCCCATCGGGGTCCTGCGGGGGTGGGGCACGATTACCTGTGGTGGCACCAAGGCCTCCCCTAGCAAGAATGCAACAAGCCCACAGCCCCTCCAGTCAGGCCAGTTCCAGCCCACTCTCACCTCCCCTGGGGGTACGGCTGGGTCGTTGACAGAGATGAAGTAGGCAGGGATGCGGTGGCCCCACCACAGCTGCCGGGAGATGCACCAGTCCCTGCACAGCGAGAGGAAAGGGGTAGCAGGCAGGGCGAAGGGGGCTCGGCCTGTGCCCAGCTCAGCCCCGCCCCGGGCGCCTGCCCCACCTGATGTTGTCCATCCAGGCATGCCACGTCCGCTGGTGGGTCTCAGGCAGGATGCGCAGGTCGCCCCGGGTCACAGCAGCGCTGGCGGCCTGGGCCATCTCCCCACAGCGTACGTACCACTGTGGCCGCAGCAGAGGCTCCACCACGTCCTTGGAGCGGCTGGGTGCACGGGGGTGGCAGGTCAGTTGGTGGGCACCCCACGAGCCCCGCCCCGCCCCTCCTCGGCCCCGGCCCTCACTTGCAAAGCGGCACCACCATGGGGTTGTCCTCAATGCCACGAAACAGCCCCCGTTCTTTCAGCGCCGCCAGGACTGCCTTCCTGGCCTCAAACCTGGGCATGCCCTGGGGGGGGACAGGCCTTGTCATGGCCACACCCAGGCACCCTGCGGCCTCCAGGCCTCCCCCAGGCCCCAGGTCTCACCAGGAAGGGCGGAGGCACGTTGACGAGGGCCCCGTGGGAGTCGATGATGCTGATGGCCTCCAGTCCGTGCCGCTGGCCGACCTCATAGTCGTTCTGGTCGTGTGCAGGGGTGATCTTCACCGCACCTGCAGACACACAGGGTAGCGGGGACACCAAGGACTCAGTGAAAGTCCCCACATGCCTTCCTTCAAACAGCCCCCTGAGAAGCTGCCACGCTCTGCTTGTTCAGGTGAAGTGTATCTTTCTCTTTATGACAAGAGAAAATAA